CTCCGCCGCCCATCACGTACAGCACGGCGCCGTTCAGCAGCGACACGTTCTGCACAACGATCCGCACGCCCTCTCGCGCCATCCACGGCACGTAGAGCACAGGACTCACGCCGTCCAGCACAACGTGGCGCAGCGTCACCTCGCTCGCACCGGCAGGCACAACAAACACCGACCGCACCGTCACGCCCTCGCGGACGAACACACTCGACGCAGTGCCCACAGCGGGCGGCAGCACGGGAGCGCCCACAGGCACGCACGCCTCGCCGTACCCGCCGCTGCCGCACACGCACACGCACACACCGTTCGTCATGCTCGCCGACGCAGTCCCGGGCGCGTAGCAGTACGTGTCCCTGTCGCAGGCGTCGCACCCAGTAACGTCGATGCGCCCAGCGTCGCCAAAACCAGCGGCTGCGTACCCCTCCGCCGTCGACAGGACACGTCCACCGGCGTCGTTGCACGCCACCCTCAAATGCGCCCCAGCCGAAAGCGACAGGCTCAGCGACAGCATCCGCGGCAGCAGCGCTCGGTTCCGCACAAAGCTCAGCGTGCTCCCTGCAGCGGCCACGGCACCAGCGGCGTAGAGCATCTCCCTCGAGACACCGTCGTGCACGTTGCCCTTCGCCAGCAGCACCGACCCACCAGCCAGGCCCACCGTCGAATAAAACGCCACCGCGTAGTCCTCCGTCAAAGAGAATTCGCTCCGCACAAACGCCACAATGGAGCTCGACACGCTCACAGCCCCACGCACAGACACCGCGTGCTTGCTCAGCAGGAAGTCGCTGTCAACAAACGCCACCACGGAGCCACCGCTGGCCGCAACACCGCCCTCCACCGACACGCACAGCCCCAGCGCCGTCTGCACCGACAGCACGTCCACGTACAGCGCACCGCGCGACGACAGCGCCACGCCGCCAACCACCAACACGCCAACAGCGTCGCCGAACACAGCCGCCACATGCGTGCGCGCAATGGTCAGCACGCTCCCAGTCAGATTCACGCTGTGCACCACAAGGCACGCGGACGCGTCGCCAAGGCCGTAGGCGCCACGGTATGCAACACGCTTCTCTGCAATCAGCACCGAGTCCACCAAAGTGACGCGAGAGCCAGGCGGAAATCGGTTCGACACCAGCACGCCGCCGCCGGAGCGCGACTCAAGCCCGCTGATCAACACATCGGCGCGCTCGCCAGCAGGCGGGTCGGAACGCCACCCAACAACGTACAGGCTCGCTCCGTCCAAAAAAGTGCAGTTCGCCAGCGTCACGTTGCGCACGCTCCCCGACATCGCCTCCACGTCCACCACGACGTCCGCCGCAAAGGTCACACCAACGTAGCACGCCACCGACGTCCCGAAACCGGCGCTCACCTCCTCATCCACACGCACGTCCCGCACGCACAAGTCTGCGCCGTCGGTGCTCGGTGGCTCGGGGACAGCAACGGGCAGGCACGCATCGCCGTGGCCACCCTCAGCGCACGTGCAGGCGCAGCCATCACTCGAGGCCATCGTCGTGTAAGCGGGGAAGCACGACGTCGCGAGGGCGCATGGATCGCTGCAGGTCAGAATGGTGGCGTTGTACACGGACGGGATGCTGTATTTCGCCCCCTCCTCGCCGTTCACAGTGTTGCACGCGGCCACAATCGCTCCGTTTGTGAGATCGCGGGACCTTTTGGGTA